TTAAGGTGAGTGTGGTCTACAGAGTGAGTTCAAGGACAGCCGAGGTACACAGAGAAATCCTGTGTGTTGGGGGTGTGGGGGGAAGAGACATTCTGAATTTTCTTTTCTCTGTTTAAAAATATTTTTTTCTTTTTTTTTTTTTTTTTGTTTTGTTTTTCGAAACAGGGTTTCTCTGTGTAGCTTTGGAGCCTATCCTGGCACTCACTCTGGAGACCAGGCTGGCCTTGAACTCACAGAGATCCGCCTGCCTTTGCCTCCCGAGTGCTGGGATTAAAGGCATGCGCCACCAACGCCCGGCTTAAAAATATTTTTTTCATGTGTGTAGGTACTTTCCCTGCATGTATGTCTGTGCATCGTGTGCATACAGTACCTGTGGAGGCCAGAAGAGGGCATCGGATCTCTTGGGCCTGGAGTCACAGGTGGTTGTGAATCACCTTGTAGGTGCTGGGAATAGAACCCGGGTCTTCTGGAGAGCAGCCAGGCCTCTGCTGATGTGCAATCTCTTCAGCCCTGTGTCCTCTTCATCCCCTGCCTGGCCCTGCTATCTAAAACAGCATTCAATAGTGTAGACATGCATTCATTCTCCCCGAAGTACACACTATCTTCCTCACTTGTGAAGTGCATTTGGCCCAAGATCTGAACGGTGACTTAGTGCTAGAGCCTTGAACTTTGTATTGACCTGACCAAGAACCACTGCCTACTAACAGCTCAGAGTTAAAACATTCCCCAGGCCCTCACCTCTAAGTCATACTAGTTAGTGGGGGAATCTGGTCACCCTTGCTTTCATATTCTCCCTCCCTCCCACCTCCTGGGGCTGGAGCCTGAGCAGTATGAAGGAAAATGGAGGCCACCACCCTGCACTGGCAATGCTCAGTCTAATGGAGTCAGGCAAGCCAACAGTTAGAGCAGAATAGAAACACCTGGTAGAGATAGGCATCGGGGGCTCCGCAAAGTTTTCTTTCCAAGTGCTGGCTACCTCTGTGTGGTACCTTGAACACAGGGCTCAACCATGGGGAGCCCCAGCTACCTCCCCAGTCAAGCTCAGGACCTGCTCAAACCCTTTTTCTTTCATTCCCCAAGGGCTCCAGGCAGAACCATGTCCTCTAGCCGTAAACCTTGGTTTGGATCAGGACAGACCAGAGTGGGCTCTCCAGAGAGGCAAGAAGTACAGTCAAGATCACTGAGGTTGGAAGGTCCTAGAAGGCTGTTGGTTATTGACAGGCCAAGAGGAAGAAACATTGGGTGAACAGGAGGGATCCAAAGAACAGAGTTGAAAATAGTGTGAGGGGCTCACTACATTTTCACATAGAACTGGCTGTGCCAGGGGTCCTCCAGAGGCAACAGGGACAGGCTTCTCTAGTAACAGTGACTTCTATGACCAGCTGGCCCCAGAGCCACCCAGCCTGCTTGGGGACCAGGGAACTGGTTTGCCAAGCAAGGGTGAGCTAACAAGAGATCTAGTTCTGGGCTGCCCTCCCCCTCTACATCTGGGCCTGGCCTTGGTTTCTGGCACCACTGCCAAGTTTTGGTACCGCCCACCCACCCCCGCTGGCTCTACTGGCCAGCCCAGGTCGTAATTGCTGGGTGGGGAAGTGCACTGTGGAGTGGGCACACCAAAAGGTGGGCACGTGGGCACCTGGCCTGACTGGCTCCTGGCCCTGGGGAGGAAGTAACTCAGACTTCAGGCTAAAACCTGACTTGTTAGGGGAAGAACTTCTAGGGGTCTTCTAGCCCAGAGACTTACATTTGCAGGGACATATGAAATGGAAGTGGGTACTTGGTCTGTGGGGATTGGCTTGCCTAACCACTTCTGCTTTCCCTTGGGTGGGACCAGAGCTCAGGTGTGGGCCTATCTGTGTATCTCAGCTACTTCCTGGGAACTATCAGGGATACAGGGTCTACCTAGTGTGACCAGTGCAAAGGGCTGAACGGTTGGGAAGAAATGGAAGGGAAGGGACCAGGAAGTACTCCAGGCTTCCACCCAGGAGCTGGCTTTGAGGGACAAGGCCCTAAACACACCCCCTTGGACACACCTACCACCCCCAAGCACATCTACACACCTGCCACTCACAGATCATAAACACAGCATCCCCACAACAGACAACTCACACCCAATCCTCCACCCTAAAAAAAGGTGGGGCCCATCATTTAAGTGTCACAGCCCATAGCTGGTCATCTAAACCCTGGCACCTATTTGCTCACAGACATGACCTGAGATCTAGAGTTCTGTGACAGGAGTCTAAAAGGATTCTTGAATGATGCCAAGGAAGGGACTGGAGACAAAAAACAAAAACAAAACAACAACAAAAACTGGCTGTGTTCAGTTGGACAGGTGGATCTCTGTGAGTTCAAACTCAGCCTGGTCTATATATTGAGTTCCAGGACAATTAGTGCTACATATTGAGACTTTGTCTCAAAAATCAAAACAAGCTAGAAGTGGTGGTGCACACCTTAATCCCAGCACTTGGGAGGCAGAGGCAGGCGGATCTCTGTGAGTTGGAGGCCAGCCTACAGAGCAAGATTCAGGAGAGGCTCCAAAGCTACAGAGAAACCCTGTCTCGAAAAACCAAAACAATCAAAACAATATGGTCTACAAAGCAAGTTCCAATATAGCCAGGGCTATTACACAGAGAAACCCTGTCTGGAAAAAAAAACAAAAACAACAAAACCAGCTATGGTCTTCTCTGGAGCAGGGAAGCACAGTGAATTTGCCTTATGTTTCCAAGACCACAAGGACCCAACTAGGCAGACAGTAAGTTTGCAGCAGCTATTCCCATGACCCATCTGTAACAAAGTGATGTATCTCTAGAGAACTGGCTCTCTACCTCTGAGTTGAGACCTGTTTGGAGGGTGTCAACTACCCTTTCACAGGAGTCACCTAAGACCACTGGAAAACAGATATTTACATTAAGATTCCTAACAGTAGCAAAATTACAGTTACGAAGCAACAAAAATAGTGTTATGATTGGGAGTCACTACAATATGAGGAACTGTATTAAAGGACTGAAGAATTAGGAAGGTTGAAAACTGCTGTTCTAGAGGAAGGGAGCCCAAAATGGAGGTACATGCCTATAACCCCAGCATTTGGGAGGCAGGGGCAGGAGGATTTCGCTTCCAAGGCCAACCTGGGAGTCCCTGTCTAAAACAAGGCAAAAGAAAGCAGGCAGACTAAGGTGCATATAGCACAGGTCCATAATTCCAACATTTGGGCAGCAGAATCCCTCAAGGCTAGCCTGGTCTACAAAGACTTCCATGCTAGTTTGGTCCACATAGCAAAACCCTAAAAAAAAAAAAAAAAAAAAAAAAAAAAAGTAGATAAGGAGATGAGCGGAGATATCAGTCACTAACCCCAGGGGAACAAAGCCCCTAGGATGTGTAACACTGCCAAGGTAGGGGTGGCTGAGAGTTTCAGACGACCTGGGACCAAAGCAGGGGTTTAAAAGAGTCAGTGTTGAGGCCAGGTACACAATGAGGCACTGCTTTCCTGGAGCTTTCTAGAACACAAACCAGATCTACCGCCTATGAAAATGACCCAGAGTTCCTGCACCTGCCTCTGGCTCCTGGCCATGGAGGGAGGGGCGCACCACAGCCAAAGGTGACAGAGCCCACAGGAGCTTTTAACATGTTATAGAGGAAGCTGTCTTGAGTTGGCTCCAAACCCAGCAGCTGCCTGGGCACCCAGGGTCTAGACATCCCACCAGAACACTTTGTGTTCTCGAAATGCCTCTGTCGACCAATCCTTTTGTTTCCCTGGCATTGTTTCTTCTCAAACATCTGATGGTGTTGAAGAAAGCGGTTGCAGCCCACACAGCAACTAAGGACTGTGGGGCACGGAAGCAAGGAATAACATTCCTCATCCTCCACAAGATCAGGGACTCCTAGGCACACTCTTCCCACCGCCATGACTATGGAAAGAGCTACAGCCTAGGTCCAAGGCCCCGCACACCGACCATCCAGGGTCCTCTGGACGCAGGCCAAGGACAAAGCTATCAACTGGGCCTCCTCATAAAAAATGTGCTTTTATTCTGGAGGCCTGTCTTCCCACCCCTGGCTCCTTCCACGGAGGAAGACCTCAGGCCAAGTCTCCAACCACCCGCCCTCGCTCCTGCCCTTCTGCATCCCGAGGCTGGGGCTTCGATGGCTCCAACCTACTTTACTGGGCCACACCCACTGTAGGGAGCAGGGCTAGGCCCTGCCTGGGTCTGTTTCTCTGCCAGCAAGACTTTGCCATAGCTTCTGAAGCAGGCATCCCATCCAGCCCATTGCCTGCTGGTTCCCTCCTCTGGGTGGGTCTCCCATCCCTGAACTGGCCTCTACAGGTTCTGCCTCAGACCAGCGCAAGGGAGGAGCCTGCCATCTCAGGGTATCTTCTCATAGCGTGCCTGCTGTCAGCACACTTGGTAGTGTCAGATTTTGGAGGACTC